GCGATGAAATGGGAGGTGGCTGTACGCAGAGCAAGATTCGTAAGCGCGTTGTAACTTTTCTCAAATCGCGACATAGTTTTTCACTAATTACAGAAACGACGGCACCTGTGTCGACAAGTGCACGTACAGCAACACCTTCTACTAGCACATCAATTTCGTTGGCCGGACAAAGAGGAGGTCTTAGAAAGTTCGACGACGACACAGTTCTTGCCTCCGGAACTGCGGCTGTCAGTTTTCCTCTCGAGCGGAGTTCGTGCGTCGAAGCATCGCAGAAACAGATCGGCGACGGGGTGGTAATGACCGGCGAGAATCGACAGGGTGACGTGGGGACAATGAGTCGGTGATAGGAGAAGATGGTCGCTGGGGATTCTGGGCAGCCTGGTGATTTGCAGAATTACCATGGTCTGGAGGCTGGAAGTTGCGACGGCGACATTAGCGTGCTATATGTCCCCCGACACCGCATGCGAAACAGATGGGTTGATTATCCAAGGTGCGCCATGGGTTAACGACAGCAGGTGCAGGGGGCGAAACGGGATGGGGCGCCATGTATGTAGGCAGTGTCGTAGGGTAGGAGGACCCGGTGCCCCGGTATGCGCCAGAGACAGGTGGGGCTGGAGGTCTAGCAACGACGACAGCGTAGGTCAGCGGCGTAGGGACAGATGGCGATGGAGGCAGTGCCTGCGTGACCTGTGTCTCAATGACCTGGCGTAGACGTGGGTCTAACGGGGTCACTGGCGCAGATGCTTCGGCCACAAGAGAAAGCTGACGCGCAACTTTTTCACGAATGAATTGTTTGATGTGGGGCAGTAAGACGGTGTGCTCAGCAGCGACGTCGTGCACGAGGGCGGAAACTTCAGCCGTATCTTCAGTGGCCCTGCGCGTCGAGACACGCTGCTTACGCAACTCGTCGTACTCCTGACAGAGCTGGAGAACATCGGTGACGGTCTGCGGATTCCTAGCGACGAGCATCTGGAAGGTATCGATGTCAACTCCTTTGATGATGTGCTTGAGTTTGTGGCATTCGGTTAGAGATTCATAGACGCGCTTGCAAAGAGACAAGACATCTTCAATGTAACTTGTAAAGGTCTCGTCCCTCCGCTGGACTCGACTACGGAGACGCTGTTCCGCGCGATGCCGGCGCACGGCGGGACGACCGAAGACCGCGGCGATGGTGGTCTTGAAGGTGGACCAGTTGGTGACTTCGCCTTCGTGGTTATAGATCCAGAGGCTGGCCACATCAGTGAGGTAAAAGCGCAGGTTTGTGAGCTGGTCGCAGGCGTTCCGCATGTTGGAAGCGCTTACGATTTCGTACTCGACGAGCCAGTCCTCGACGTCTTGTTCGTCGTTGCCCCGAAAAATTGGTGGGTCGCGTTGCCGAGGCACGCCAGTACAGTAGACTGTCGTTGGTAAGGCAGCTTGAGAAAGGCCAGGAGCAGTCATGGTGAACGGTGAGGGTAGCGTCCGATTGCGAAGTTCCAGGTTGATGGGAACCCCGGCTCCTCCACCACTTAAAATAGAGGTGTTGTACACCGAGAAAGGTTCAGATGCAGCTTCGCAAAATGTGCTTTATCAGGCAGGTCTGGCTAATGGCGAGCGGCATGCGCGAGCTACTACTACAGCCACCGATCATCATCGTCTTCTTCATTGCCAGCAGAGCGTTCGTTATTCAGATTCATTACAATATATATATATATATATATAATGAATATATAGAAGGGCCTGTCAATGTTCATGTTGGCTGTCCTAGAGGGATGTCGAGCTAACGTACTAATTTGTTATCTTTGTACATCTGATGTACTGTACATTCGTGGATATTTGAAGAATGTCCGGAATATCCTAAATGTAAGTTACCGAATATCCACGGTTACTTGGGTCCAGTAGCGGTTTTCGTGCTGTCATTTATATAAACGCGAAGCAGAGGTTAGTAGCACACAAAGTTTTCGAGCAGTCTCATTATGCCTTGAGATACACGCACCAGCTATACTTCATTTCATACATAAGGTGCAACACTGTGGAGGCTATGCAAGAAGTTCGGTCAGCAAGGTGTGTGACTACACGCGCCTCGTGCTTGGCTTTTGTTGTTGTAAACGCTCGTGCGAGACAAGCACAAGCGCAAGAGATGAAGCATGCATTCATTGCAAAAAATCTCGCTAGTCTCCACAGTGTTGCACCTGATGTATGAAGTGGAGTATAGGGAACCTACATGAACACTTTTTTAGGGTGGAGACATATAAAAAAGTGCCTTAAAAAAAACTCAGCCAAGCTCAGTAGGCAATCGGGCATGCTGTTGCCAGCTTTCACCAAACTTAGCATAATTTTTTGTGAGCTGCCATTTTGGCGCCAGCCGTTTTATTCCCCCCCTCATCCGCTACTCGCGATCTGCAAAATTACTAGGGACTTGCAGTGTATTTTCAAAGGCCTTCTTTTATGACTAAAACCTTATTAAGGCAAAAGCTTTCGATACATCAGGCGTGAAGTGTCAGTGGCGTCCAGCGTCAGCATCTAGTGTCAACACAAAGTATTAGATGCATCAAGTGGTAAATGTAATCGTCGGTGGCATCGTCCAGCATCGGCATCAACACGTTACCAACGCCTACCGTTACATGCATCAAGCTCGATCGAACGTAACTGTCGGTAGTGTACAGCATCGGAGTCAACACGTTACATGCATCAAGCTTGAAACGTAACCGTTGGTAGCGTCGTCCAGCTTCGGCGTCAACACTAATCCTTCGGTGCATCAAGCGTGAAATGTAACCATTGGTAGAGCACAGCATCGGCATCAACACATTACATGCAAAGCTCGAAACATAACTGTCGGTGGTGTCGTCCAGTGTCAGCACCAACACTTTACAAGCGTCAAGACCGTCCGTGCATCTGTTTGTGCGTTCGTCCGTCAGCTTCGCCCCACTTGTCATCATTCACCTCGTGGATATGCTGTGATTTTCTCGTGCTACCTGGGACTTTGATGTATCTAATGCTTCGTGGTGATGCCGACGTTGAACGACACCGGTGGTTACTTTTACGCTTGATGCATCTACTGTTTCGTGTTGACGCTGACGCTGGATGCCACTGACGAACACATTTCAAGCTGGATGCACCTAACGCTTCGTGTTGACGTTAATGCTGGACGCCACGGACGGACTAAATTCATGCTTGATGAATCTACTGTTTCGTGTTGACACCGACGCCGGGCCGTATTCTTCGAGATGAAAGGAGCCATGTGTACTCACAGTGCGGGCTACAATATGGCGCGGTAGCACAGCATCCTCGTCTGGCAATATTGTGTTTTGGGGGGCGCAGCAGCGTTGGCGGCATTTAGTGAATCAAAGGCTGGCACCTTAAAACAGGCGGTCATGTAGGCTCTCTAGCACCAGAGACCATGCCCTTCAAGCAATGCAGCCTCCCGCCCCGCAAAACAAGGCAATTAATGCAATGCCATGATGTTAACTTTTTTTTTTTTTTTTCAATCGCCAGCTATTGACTCTGCCAAGCGAGAAGAGGCGGATGTGTAACAAGGCGTAGCGGCTTCACAGTGGGCTTCCTTATTACACCAGAGCCGCCAGCATTGGCCTCATTACGGAAACCGCCTATTAAAGCCAAATTGTGGCTGCTCCGAATAAGAGGCATGCTTTTATTGATGAGATGACATTAAAAAAAAGCTCATGAAAATTTTTAATTCGGACCCTAGTATTTTCGAGCATTCTCTTAAGGGAGTTTTTACCGCAACAGCGATTACAAACACAGACGTGCTGGTGGAAGGAATTACAAAAAGCACTTTTGAAAAAAAGATTCATGAATAAATTATAATAAAGAAAAAGTGTGAACACATTCCCACAGTTCAGGTGGTCTCCTGTGGATGCGAAGCACGGGAAATGAGATCACCCGCGATGTCCAGAAGTAGACATGGCACACACTCTGACGATGCGGACCCGTGCAATTGTTGGTAAAGATTGCTTTAATTACGTGCCATGCAACTCCCCAAACGAGCTATCAGCAGCATTTCTGAAATGGACGACGCCCGTCGATGAATTTGACGCCTGTCGAACAGTTTCACGATACAGATTGGAATAGATGTCACGAGCTCATGCGGACAGAGCGTTTCACCGTTAAGCGGACTTGCACAACAGAAGTTGCGGCGGCACCAATCATGGAATCTTGGATTACTTAGAATGCACAGGCGACCCCTGTTTTTTCAGCGGAATAATTGTAGGTACGTGATAGTGATTTTGGTGGCTCCGAGAACAAGGTGCAAACATCTTGACGTACCAGCGTGGCAATAGCCAATGATAGAAGCCCCCATAAGTGACTTTGGTGCAGTTTGGTGAAATTTTCGGTGGTATTGTTGCGATGTTGCAGTTATTACTATATTGAAGCGAGGGAGAAAGAAGAGGACGACATTGGCTGGGGATCAGCAACCAACATTATTATCAGAATGGCGCAGTAAATCTGACTTAGTGCAGTTGGCGTAGGAGTGGCATTACTGGGTTCAGTATTCTGAAATTCGTAGTAGTGAAATATTTTTACATTAAACTGACGGACATCTCGAGGGGAATTATTCAAATAGTTGTTAATATAGTTGTTATTCTGAAAAAACCATTGATCTGAGGTTTGCCATAACAAGAACTGACTATACACAGTTACATGCTAAACAGTCACGAGCAGGGGGAGCATGAATGGCGTTCCTCCGAAATTTACATGTCATGCCATTTGCGTCACTTCTCGAACGCAGAGGAAACCTGTTTACTTATAGTGCCATTCGAACATCGCGGTGTCAAAAAAACAAAGCACGACCCCGGCACAAACGTGTGACGTGCACCCGCAACGTGCGTACACCCAACATCCCAGGTGCATTTTTATTGTCAGGTTTGTCGTAGAAAACTTTGTTGGACACCTGCTGCGCAGGGCACAATCGGCTGGTACGCTAGCTACACGGCCGGTCTTAAATTTGGTCGAGCATGCGCTGGAGCATGGAAACTGAGTAGGTAGATGAGACCTCACCTACAATCAGTGGACATTCGTTACTAGAAAAAAACCGTCAGCATTTCACAGCCAAAAACAGAAACAGTGTCCCTTGCAGAGAGCAAAGTTCTCGAATAGAGGCTCTGTGATCCTGCCAATGAATTGAAAGCCAGCAACAGTTAGACAGCGAGTTTTTTAATGCTGTCATGTGACATTTTTGCTGTTATACCTCCCATGACTTCTTTTTTTTCTTAAGTAACAAGCCCTCCCCCCCAATTAGAGTCAGCTTTTCTGAAGAAAGGTGGGTTCATTAAGTGAGCAAATAGAGCGAATCACTTTGTGCAAGAAACCATCTCTGTGCACTAATAATGAAGTGTTCAACAAATGTCTTGCCTGTTGATAGGAGCGCAGCTGCGCATTGATGGGTACACAGAGTTCATAGTTGTCGGCGTGCCGTGCATCCATCAGCTGCTCCAAGAAATGGCGCTCACTTGCTCGGCGCTCACACAGGTCTGCCGACAAGGGTTCTCCGGCTTTGTCAATGACTCCACTCTGCAAACAGCACAAGAAATGCACAAACTGTCAATGCCACTTCAGGTGCACCAAACTGCAACAAAAGTGGCAAAGCACACAGTGGAACCCCAAACTCTGTGGCCCCTAATTTTTTTAAGAATTGATTAGTATAGTTTGGGTTAATTTCTCCTTGACTGATATGTGGGGTTTAATATTCTGAAACCACCATATGATTATGAGACACACCGTACTGGAGAGCTTTGGTAATTTCGACCACCTGGGATTATGTAACATGCACCCAAATCTGAGCACATGGGCCTACAGCATTTCCACTTCCATTGAAAATGCAGCCTCCGCAGCCGGGCTTCAATACTGCGACCTGTGAATCAGCAGCCAAGTACCTTAGCCACTAGACCACCGTGGCGGGGTGGGCTAATATCGCTTAGAGACTAGGAAAACATGATGCAAAGTTATGCAGATCTTTTTTCATGATGCAACCCATGACGAAAATTTCAAATAAACAGTAAGCACAAGATATGGTGCACACTTTTGGCAAGATTCATCTGCTTTTTGTTGTTTTCTGTTTCCTTGTGATCAAGGCCCACAATGAACTGGGAAAGCTTGTCAATACCAGATTGCATTATACGTTTTTATGAACAACTCATTGTTTCTCTCCTTGTACAAGCCAATGTCCTTTAAAAGCAATTCGATATTATTATAGAGCTTTCAACTCATATCAGATAGCGTGACAGCAGAACTGGGCTCTTACTGGTACTTTTACAGCGAATGAAATAGAATATTACTTTTCTAACTTCCAGAAGAATTCAGCACACAATCACAAGCTGTCACGACATTGGTGAGTGAAGCTGTGTTGGCTGCGGTTCGTGCGGCATTAAGTGGTCTTACTCTGCATAAGGTGTTAAGTGTAGCGCTATCAGTAAATCTTGCGAGAATAATTGTCATTTTATTACCGAGCACAGCCATTTCATAGTCTTGGATAATATTGCAACGAAGATGCGGGTGAATATGGGGGGCAGAAAAAGAAGAAGAGTAGTGAAGCCGGCGCTTGTAGTGTGTGGTTGATTGAACCGGACTGGGCTTGTCTTGCGCAAGTACGCTGCTTTTTTTCCACGACATTTCACCTCACCAGTAAATAAACCCATTCATTTGCAATAGTTTGGTGGAAGATGCTTGGTGCATCGATTTGGACGACCCCGCTCTACCAATTTCGCAACGGAGCAGATGCTTGGCAGGCTTGCCATCGCAGCTGCCAGACATACAAAACTTAGGAGAATGCCATAACAACCTCGCCGCTGATGAGCAACGTTCTCCTCCTACAGGACAAGCTGGTTACAGCACGCCGTAACGTCAACCAAGCGCCTTCTCAGAGCAGCCAGATGACGATGTGGAAGACTGGCTCAAACACCACCAAAGAGTAAGTCGTAGCAACTGCTGGAGCACTACTAAGCAGCTTGAGAACGAGGTGTTTGTTCTCGTCGGCACCGCGTCTCTCTGGTTTGACAACCATGAGAGTGCATTAACAACATGAGACATTTTTACGGACGAATTGAAGAAGTGTTTTGGGGAGTCGACTGCTAAGGTCAAGCAGGCTGAGCAAACGCTTTCGCGCAGAGCTTAGTTACCTGGCGAAACTTGCACCACCTACATTGAGGCTGTTTCGAAACTTTGTTGAATAGTGAGTGCCACCATGCCTGACAAAGATAAGGTAGGTCATCTCCTCAAAGGAATCGCAAGAGACGTATACAATTTCCTCATCCTGAAAGAAAACCTACACACACCTTCTGACCTAAGGAGACACTGCCGCGTGTTTGAAGCGCTGAAATGAAGGAGAGTCCTTCCGAAATATGGGCGTCTAGACGATTGCAAATGTCAACCTTCCATGTCAACCTTCCATGTCAACAAATCAACTTGCTAATAACTTTATTTGAAAAAAGCCCCTTTTTTATAACCATGCACACATGTGTACAGTTACAGTTCTGCAGGACATGGGCGAATAATAATATGCAAAGGGCTCGTAAACCACTCAGAGGTCGAAATTCAGTTGTGGTGGAGAAATTGTGCATGAGTGTACAATGAACACACAGCCGTGAGAATCAGCCCGTGCAATTATATAGCGGAGTTATATGCATTTGATTATCGAAACCGCGATGATCCCTCCTTTTGCTCTCTCCTGCGCTACCCTTCATGGTATGCGCTCCCAAAATCGCTTTGCCCTCTCGCTGAGCGCCCCTACCGATCTTGCGTGGCATACTTCATCGCTGTTTGAAACACTGTCTACTTCCGGTAACCACGACTTCGTCCCTCTTTTGACTCTGTCAACTGCCTGTTTGTTGGGGAACCGCGGCTGCCATTCCAGCCCGTGCTTATATGAATCGTACCAGTATGTACCCTGCGTTGCATGTACGCCTTCAAAGGGTTACTAACATGAAGGACCCATACGCAGTGCAGGAGCAACATGACGAACAACAAAAAGCAGTGCAGACAGCTGCTTGAAGACTATCCGGAAGTCTTAGGTTCTTGCTCAACCAGTCACAGCATATTTGTGGCTAGCGTGGATATCTGAACGGCGCGTTGCAGATATTTGAACGGCGCGTCTTGTATAGGGTCATGCAGAAGTCCAAAAGGCCCGGAAAGATGAAGGCATTGCTTCTTGAAATTTGTGGTGCGCCAACAGCTCATAGTGCTGCCTCGTGTAGAATCCTTGATCACAACGGCATTCTTCACACGATGTGCGTATTTACTTGAAATGTCTGAAAAAATATCAGAGCTCGTTTAGGAGCCCTTTCAATTTTAAGATATCATGAAAGCAAAACACACAAAATTACAAGGCAGAAGTTTGTATGGTTGGGTGGTAAACTGCGAAAAACTATTTAAACTTTTTTACATTCAAGTCAAGCAGCCAAGACTTTGGCCAGGATAACATGCAGCTAGTCAAGTGCTACATACGCATCAAGTAAGGCATCTCAGTCTTCAATACTAATCCTGACTTCAACCGCACCTGCAAGGAAAGTCGTCCCTCAGTATCCTCTACCTGTGCTGCGCTTGAGAATGACGCAAGCCTGGGTGAAAAAACTTCTTTAGCTGCTGACGAGCTCTGCCATCTATTGGAATTCTGCCAGTCCAGTACGCACTTCTTCTACAAGTGAACTGTTTTCAGGGAGAACAGTGGAACCACAATGGAAGCCTCCATATTTGTCACAACGGTCAACCTGACCATGGAGCATATAGAATGAAAACACTCAGCTCTTTTTTGCCATGGCCCAAGCTCTTTTTTCATTACATGGACGATTGTTTTTGCGTAATGACGATATCTGAAATTGTAAACTTAAGACAGTACTTAAATTCCATGCACCCAGCCATACAATTTACGGCCAAGTGTGAAAGCGGCCGTAGCCTGCCCTTTCTCGAGGTACACGTGTCAAGACTGTCTTGGAGTTCTCCATTCGCAGGAAACTGACATGCACCGGCTGATACCTTCAATATGGTTCATCTTGTCCCGCCACACACAAGGACACGGTTGAGGCCACGTTACTTCAGAGAGCCAAGAACACATGTTCCGATGACACGTAGTGCAGGAAAGAAGAGGCTTGCGTGATTGCGGACCTCAGAAAAAATGCACACCCAAAAAAACTTCATTCAGTCTGTGACCCGTCGCGTAGAGCAAGAGAGGCTACACAAACCCCAATCAGCATTAATTGGCAGCTCCCTGAAATACGTACCGGTCCCATATGTCAAAGAAACCAGAAAGGCGATGGCCCGGATCGTAAAAAAAGAAGAGGTGCGCCTTCATGCATGCTGGGCTGCCTCCTCCCCCTCCTTGAAAGGCCACCCAACAATTCACAAAGATGCTGGCGTCGTTTACAAAATTCTGCGCGTCGAGTGCCCCTCCTTGTATATTACGGAGACAAAAAACCTACTGAAACAACTCGAACAACACATCTACAACGTCTGGAAGTTGAACAAAGAGCGCAGCGCTGTCGCCAAACGTTGTGAGACGTTTGACCATAAGATGAATTTCAACAAAATGACCACCTTGGAAAGCGAGACTAACTGGAGGAGAAGATTACTACTGTAGTACTCGAGTCATGCATATACAGCGAACGGCCCAAAACATCAATCGTTCCTTTCCAACCCTTCCGCCGGTGTATGCACACGGACTACGCTTCGCAGCAAAACATAGGGTCATCAACTGCGGCCCGAGTGCTTTTAAGGAGGGACACGGGTCTTGGCGACGAAAAAACGGCAAAAAAATCGATTTTTCAGTTTGGTGATTTTCGTTATCTTCATATCACCCCGCACCTGCCAGCAAAAAATTAATTCCAAAGGACACGTCCTTGAGCCAAAAAATGTAGTGTTTATTCCTCCCAGCACTTGGTTTCGCTTACGAAATCGCCGAAAACAGCCCCCTTTTGCGTTGCTAGGATCGCGCTAACCCACGGAAGAAGTTCCTCCGTGCGCTAACCACTCGTCGAATTGCGGATATCTTAGTCTCGTTTGAAAGAGCTTCTGTTGAGCTCGCTTTCTGGCCAGGAACGAACCTTCAATGCTGCAGCCTGTCTGTGCTACCAGGCAAAAACAAGCGACAAAACCGTGCGGTATCATTGGTCCATAGCAGTCAGGTGAGTGAACAGCAGCTTGTGATTGGAGCTCGGGGACTAACAACACGAGTGATCAGGCGCACGCAATCTCAAACACGCGCATTGTCACCGCTATTTCGAAAGTTTTGTAGTTTTGCGATCGAAATCGAGATGCCGAACCATGCTCGAAAGTTCCGTACACTTCACAAATTCGGCAAGTGATAGAAAAAATGTGCTATGCAGCCCAAGGAGTCATCGCAACCAGCGCAAACTACATCGGCACAGCCAAGCGGGACAGGAGACCGGTAGTCACTGCGATGCAGCAGCCCGACACAAAGGTAGTCTTCGATCGCTACAACTTCTACCAGTGGCGACACGCGCTCAGAGTGCCATAAATCATCGCCACTGCTGACGAAGATGTCTGCAGACCTCGGTGGAAGA